CCGGGCTGACCCTCCCCCGCCCGCCCCGGGTCCGCGCCCCGGCACATTCCGTCCTCTCCTCGCCGCCCCGCCCTCCTTCGGCCCCGCAGGGACGGAAACATCCCATTCCCGCCTGCGCCCGGCTGGGAGCTGGGTCTGGGAGCCCGACTAGACGGCAGCGCCTACTCCTCGCACGCCGGGGGAACTGGCTCTCCCGGCTCCTACCGGGTGACTTCACCTGGCCCCGCCCTCTCAGGTGAACGGCCGGGCTGGGTGACATCACTTCCTGCCAGGTAAGCGCCGCTGGCGGCTGTGCTCTGGGAAGGTTTAAGAGGAGCTGAGTGGACTACCCGCTTCCAAAAAGGGCCTCACCATCATCCCCACTCCTCTGTCTCTAGACCGCAGAAGAGCCAGGATTCCAGTTTACACACAGATGCCTTTTATTTAAAAATTCCAAAAAACACAAAAATAAACTTTTAACAATATATATTACTTAATATATTATAGTATCTTATAACAATAATTATTCCATCGTTTCCAATATTACAAAAAGGAGGAAGGAAAATACAAGGGAAGCAGACGACCCAATATATATAAATACTATAAAATCTATTAGAATAAATAAAGTCGTCATAAATAAAGGGCCCAATGGTTGGGGTGGGTGTTGGCGACGGCTTTGGCTACTTGCTTTTGGGGGGAAACTTGAGCACCAGGATTGCCCCTCATGGGGAGGCTCCAGTTGCCACCAGTCAACACCAGAACCTCAGGGGTCTAGGAAAAATTGGGAAGGGGCAGTGGGGGCCTATTCACAGCATTGGGCAGGGGAGGGGGAGAGGGCTCACTGCCTCCCTCAAATTTGCTACATCTTTTTTTTAAAAAAAGACTCCAGAATACACTCCTTCCCCCAACACCACGAACACTGAGCTTGCACACTGGGGGCCTGCCCCAGCATGGGGTCAGGGGAGTGGGTTAATGCATTTTGGAAGGCAGGGGGGTACTTGGTTAAAAGTCCTGGGCTCCTGTAGAGCCCACAGCACAAGAGAAATGCCACCCCCCCCACTTGAGATCCAACTGATCTGTACTGGGCAGGCACTTGTCACTCAGATACAGAGATGCGATTGAAGATGGGGAGTCGTCGAGAGGCTGCAGGTGGCTGGGGGGGCCCAAAAACCCCAGCCTCGAAGACAGGCGAATCAGACCCTCCCAGGCTGCTGCCGCTGCTGGCATATTCGTCAGGATCAGATCCCAGGGAGTGTGCGGAGGGGCTCCGAGCCAGGCCACCCACAGGTCTCCAGACACTGCTGTTGGTGGCCCTACGGCAGGAGGGGCAACAGGCTAGGGTGGGGTCCCTTCGGGCCACAGGGGTCCCAGGGGCAGCAGAAAAGGCAGAGGGTGAAAGTGGAAGGTCTCCAGGTGCTGGGGGTGGGGAGCTGGAGGGTGAGAAGGAGCATGAGGACAGGGAAGAGCCTGTCAGGGCTGCTGGCGGTGGTGAGGCTCGGCGGCCGGAGGGTAAGCCTGAGAAGCTGATGCTCTGGCGCAGCACATGGGGGTGGCCAGGGGCAGCCTGGTCTTCGCTGGGGTTGTGGATGAAGTGGCAGCGGGAGCCGTAGGGGCAGCGGCCCTGGAGGTAGAACTTGTGGCAGAGTTCCGTCTTGTATTTGGGGTGGCGACTGGCCTGACGCAGCTCACCCAGTCCGTGAGCAAACTGGCACTTTGCCCCATATCGACAGCGCCCGCTCTCTGAGAAGGTCCGACATAGCTCAGTCTTGTATCGGGATGAGGTGGTGGGGGTCGCAGGAGGCGAAGTGGGCGAAGGCGACAGCTCAGGGCCTGGGCGCGGAGCCAGGGGTGCGAAGCCTGGGGGTGGGGGCACCCAGCCGCAGGTCCGACCCTCCACCAGGCTGGTGGAGCGGCCAGGCAGGCGGGCAGTGACCCCAGCCGGGCTAGAGTCGGATGAGCCGAGGCTCCAGAGTCTGGAGGAGGCCAAGCCCAGGTTGGACTCAGTGTCTCCATGGTCTGATGATGGCAGGTCAGGGCTCAGCGACAGGAGGCTCTGTGGGAACAGGGATCGTTTAAGACACCAAAAATGCAGGGTGACGCCTCTCCTCAGCTGCAGGGCACCTAATAGCTTGCCAGTCCCGTTTGTGGGCTCCTGGCCTGAGCCCCACCCGCCCGCTGAAACCCATGGGTTCTGAGTCGCAGGGACCCCAAACTGGAGGATAAGTTTATTCGCGAATGAAACCTTTTCCGACGGACCCAAGAATCACAGATCCCCGGCTGGATTGAGGGGATCCCAAACTCAGGGCGCACCACTGTCCTCCAATTTCGAGTCTCTGGGTCTCTCGGGATTTGACCCCGCGCATCGTGTTCTCCAGTTTCACAAGTGGAGGGGCCAACAAAGTTAACCCAGGAATTCGATCTCTTTGGTTTTTGAGTCCCAGAGCCCTCCTCTGGGTCAAGGAGTGGAGACAAAAGTCGCCTTCCCCTAACCCCGAGACTCCAGCCCCAGAAACGCCTCCGCGCAAAACCGCGCCCTCAGCAACTACTGGGGGGAAGCCAGGTGTGGGGCCATTTCCGCCTCCAGACAGCCCTAGTCTGACAAAACTCCTCTAGCTTTCCATCTACAAGAGCCACCCAACCCATGTTTGGGCCGAGACCCGAACGTCGCGGGATCCATTTTTCATCTCAAGAGAGTCACACTGGTCTGATAAGGGAGGCAAGACCCCGGGCCCGAGCGTGCGGCGCTAAGGAGCTCCAGTTGGAGAAGGAAGCCAGGGGTCCCGGGCTGGAGTTTGCGGCGCTGGAAAGCCCTCATTTGAGAAGGGAGTCAGGCTTTGGCACCCCAGGGTGCCAGTCTGTAGGGACTCACCTCGTAGATGGCGGTGAGATCCATGGCGGCGCGGAGGGCCGATGAGCGGAGAACCCGGCCGATAATCGGAGCGCTGGAGGCAGGCTGCGGGTGGCTGGAGGAGCCGGTGCTTTTATCCGTAG